CATTGACTAATGATGACTCTTATTTTGAAGCCAGAGACGAGTTAAACTTTAAGTTAGTACGGCATATATACTTTATTTGTAACATAACCGTCCGCTTGCCAATTCTGTATTTATTCGATCCAATTTGGGAAGCTGGTACAAAACACACCGTGTCTTCGTTTGGAGATCCGTGACTGATTAGATCAAGGGACAATCTTTATTTTATGATTGTGATACAGGATTTGGGTTAGTACAACACAACAAACCCTGAATGTGTCGTCCGTATAGCCATAGGTAGGATACATGGGAGTGCAATCTACCCCTAGTACTAGTAAATCATCACACGGAAATGAATTATGGGATGTTGATGTGTATAAGCAAGCATGTGGATATGGCTATGTGTGTGTGTCTCAAAACCGTGATAAGCGAGAGATGACACATGGATTGCGCGTGGTTGATTATTTTGTATGAATCGTCTTACTTTGTTTGGTAATAAAATAAAATTAACTTTATCCGCGAACAATAATAATAAGCACTTCCCATAACAAACCCTTGCCAATTTAAACAATTATAGTTACTTTTTTTTTATAAATCAAGTGACTTTAAATTGACCTCCATACTATTATTATTATCAACAACTTTTTCATTACTTTTCTCAATACTCTCTCGCCATTCTCGCCCTTTATGATACGCAATTAGCAAAAGAAAAACTCCGATGACGTTGAGAAAGGCTAATGCTGTAAATAACCATCCATTCCCAATTGCATTTTTTATTGGAGCAGCAATGATAGACATTAGAGAAGCAGCAATATACCGGAGACAAATATTTACTGACATAACCGATGCTGAAAATCCAGGGAATGCATCAATGAGATAAGCTGCCATACTGGTAAAAGTTAGAAGAACCCCCATCCCGCCTAAAGGAAATGATTTAGTATTAGTGTTGAGGAAAGAGTGTTGAGGAAAGGAAATGTTTTCTGATTAGCGGCATATCAATATATTCTCTACCACTACCACACCACTACCACTACCACTACCACTACCACTACTCAATTTCGCATATACATACCGAAAAACATGGCAATCAAAGGCCATACAATAAACACCTCTTTTTCTACACACCAGCCATAAGCAAGAAACGATATGGGTAAAATGATGGATCCTAGCCATGCACTTTTCAATCTCATCTCTGCATACTGCTCTCCTTTGTTCTTTTTTTTCTCCCTTGCAAGCATTATATCCGTATACCTCCCTCCAAATACACTTCCTACCATATGCCCTGCCCCACTAGATAAAAATAGAAGCCCAGTCGTGGAGGGTGAGAGAGCATAATGGCTGTCTTGAAATGTGACCGCTACAAGTGTGTATTGTGTGAATAACATTGCAAACATTGCGGAAATAAATACTACTAAAAACGCGACATTTGGATAACGGAGGAGAAGGAGAGGTGACAGAATGAGGAGCAAAAACGATAGGAGATTGAGATCTTCTTTAGGTTGAGGCAGGGGTGTTGGATTTAAGGAAGAAAGTTTAGAACTAGGAGACGTTGGAGATGAGGAAACGAGGGTAGCAGGAGATGTCGGAGATGAAGGAAATAGCGTGTTGTTCGGAGAGACTGGAGATGTAGCAAAAAGAGTAGCACTAGGAGAGACCGGAGATGGGGAGATAATAGAAATGCCAGTGTCAATGCGAATTTGACTTTTGTTTCTTTTTGACTCATTTAAGCCGTCTTCATCTTGCTTTTCTAGTTCATCCTGCACTACATCGTCACATCTCACTGTCACATTTTCAGCATCGTTTTCTTTGCCACCCATCATGCCTTTCTTTTCAGTCTCGGTCTTTTGCCGTCTGCTCGGCTTCACAGGCTCTCTGAAGGTTTCTGGTAACATGAACATTAGAACCAATAGAATTACTCCAATAATCGCAAGTAACCAGAAATTCCACCTAATTGAAAAAAGTAAGCACCGTGTATTAAAATGTTATATAGAAAATGCATACATTTATTACTTTGTTCTTTTACCTCCATCCAAGGAATTTGTCGACATATCCACTGCAATCAGGAAACAATTAGCATGCGTTTGAATGGGTGGCTAGATCTTAATAATGATCATAATTACCCAATGACAGGTCCAATTAATGGACCTATATGAATCGCAGTTGTAAAAGATATCCAAAAACCGTTTAGAATCTGTAATATCAAACCAAATTTGATCGAGAATAATATATAGCATACCTAATAGTGTTCCCAAGAAGGTAATGCCATATGCAGTTCCACGGTCTATTAAAGAAAATCACATCAGCGAATAGACCATGTCGTTAAACTACGCGTTCTAAATTTATACCTTCAACTCTGTATATGTCACTTAGCGTTCCGGCTCCAACGCTCTGCACTGCCGATGACCCACATGCTTGCAATACTCTCATAATGATCAACAGCCAGATGTTTGGTGATAGAGCACAGACTATCGATGCAAGAACAAATATTGTAGATGACAAGAGATAAACATTGCGTCTTGTTCCACGTTTGTCCGAATATGCAGCCCAACCGAGCGGCTACAAGGAAATAAATATAAAGTCGTAGCAAGTAAGATGTATGATAACAATATGATAACAGTGACAGCACTTTTGAATTGTTGCATTTTTGACTTACACATATTCCTATAGCAAGGACAAATACTCCTACTGCAAAATGTTGATTTGTGAGTGACATGCATCAGATATTCTGTGTCTCGATGGAATTTTGAGTCATATTTACTTATTGAGTTTGCAGCCACCTCTGTCGTGTTGTATGACTTTTGTATGACTGGTAGTACGGGAAAAAACATCCTAAACGCATTAGATCATGTATTATTAGTAAAGATCAAAGATACTATCGTCAACGCATATATATATATGCACATATATGCACAGAGATTCTTGATTTTATAAGACGATCTGTAAATGTGCGTGCGCCAAATATAATGAACTATTCAGACATACGTGCTTGAAAACGGAGCCGCTACTCCGGCAACCGCTATTACCCCAAGGATAAAAAATTTCTTTCTTCTTGGCCATTTTTTGGGATCATCTTGAATAACATCAGGCTCCTCAATTGTGTCGATGCGTGATTCAATGTCTACCATTACAGGATATAATAAATAGTAAGAAAAAAAAATTTTTTTTTTAAGTGGGAAAGAACATCCAGATCGAATCTGATTTATACTTATTGTTGTGACCGCTTTTTTGAGACAAAGTTTACACGAATGTTGATATAATAATCTTTACGTCTGACAAGCTCGTTTGGTTTCACCTTCGGGTCTGAACACAATTGGCAAACTGTAACACTGTGGAAGATAATAATAAGGTGACACAGTTATTTTGGAGATCTGATCAAAGCAAACATGTCACGCAAAATGATTACGACACAGGCAAATGTGCGAAATAAGCTGTCTAAGTCTTTCGTCCTGCTGTAGCAAGGCACGCTGATATCAAGGCCTAAATCAGATCCAACTTATAATATAGCATAAGCGACGAAGTCATACCCACAAGGAAAGCAAGGGCCAATACATCAGACAATGCTGAAAGTTCATCCGGCGCACTTGGAATTAGTTCTGCATTCTGAGGCATTAATAGTCGTAAAACGGATCACACCCAATATCTGGGAATCTCCAATCAAGGTGTTTGTACTTCAACGTCTACGGCCATCTTCAATGAGCGCGTTCAATGATTTTACTCCGATAACTGTTTGCAAGACGTGTCGCCATTCAGCTTAACTCAATCGGGTCTACAATTCTAGACCTGTAAAGCCAATTTTTTGAATGGGGAATATCAATTAAGTTTCTTTCATTATCCTTTTCACAACACAACAATGGCAAAAAAAACTAAGGCTAAATAAAAAGCACACGTACGGGACACGCAATTTGGTCTTGTCTAGCCTTGACATGACCATTTCCCATACTTTTTCGGAAGTCAAAATAAGCGACATATTGTATGTATTAGAGGACAGTGTGTGCTTGATGGTAATAAGAGACAAACGTTTTAGATGTACTTACCTGATGACAGCTGATGTCCACGCCTATATTCTCATTTTGATCCGTTCCCGAGCTATCATCAACTAATCCTATCAACTCTCTACGCCCTTCTCTTCATTGTTACCATCATTCTTCCTTCTTAGCGCGCCGATTCATCCGTTCCCTCCGTTTATGTCTTTTATTCAAATACTAGCACAAAACATTGCAACTAAATAAATTATACTTCAGATGTATAAGTATTCCTTTGCCTCAATTTCGTCAAGTGTCCGCAACTTATTCAGCGATGTCTTCTTTTGCTGATACTAGATACTCTGAAGAAATTCGTCACGTCAGCGTGTTTCCTTTTAAGTCTACTTTGCGTTTGACAACCTCCCTGCACGAGTACATTGCGGCTTTCCCCGGTGACGACTGGTAATGTTACAAGGCAAGCCATGCGAGGTATCTCGCTGACATAGCGACCGTAAGTTCGCATAAGATCATTCTGATGCTAGAACAGTCATAAGGAATGGCTCAATATTAACACGATGCGTATTTCCGTCGTGCTTGTGGTCTGCACATCTAGGATCAACCACCTTTGGTTCGGAAAGACGTTGTAATTGTGACGTTTTCTTCGTCGTTAGAGAATGCGCGTCTTTGCTTTCGACATGTGATTCTATCGTTGGTTGTGTAACGACACGTCTTTTCTAAATTCCGTACGATGGATGGTCGGAGTACATAGTATTTATATTATTACTATTATATAATTTCTCTTTTTGTACATTTGACACTTTACTGCTTACTATATATTTGCATGGGATTGTTATTTTTTTTATACAGCACACAGTTGAAATAGAAGCATAGTGTATCTTGTGAACAATACTGGCTAGTATATGTATATCACATGGTAATGGGACAAATCCCTCAATATCAAATGAATACTTTACATTTTTCAACTATAGGCAGACTTTATTTATTTGAATTGCTTCACAGTCATGAAATGTGACTATGTTAGTGAAACCCATCTTTTATGGAAAAAAAAAAAATCCTGGATCCACTTTTTGGGTGGGTTATATGAGAAAATATTGGCCTGTAGCAGTTCATCAGCTAATTGTTCATGATTATTTTATGTGTCCTTTATTGAGCACAGCTAAGCTGTTTGCTCATTATTAATGAGCTCAATGAATGCTTCAAACTGATTTTTTCATACTGATTTTTTCATTTTTCACCAACTCTTGGATGGATGATAACTTGCCAATGACATGATTTCTTTCACCCTTCATCAATTGAGTGAGCCTAGTGAAAGTTGTGACTGATGATACTGGGCACAATTTTATGAACCTCTAATACTAAAAGCAAAAATATGGAGCATGATGAGAATGTTCACACAACAGTCATGCAAAATAGCATTATTATAATTGTCTAGATAGTAAATATAAATGCTTTCTTACCTTCAAATGTCTTCCCTTATTACCATATCTCTTGAGATCACAAAACTGGCCACCTAAGAGTTGAATATGAATGAGTTGATTGGCACTCAATGCCAAGTTTGCTGTGGAGGTCAGCAAATGATTGTTCTAGAGTGGAGCAAAGAACCCATCAGCATCTATATCAGTAAGGAACAAGATACAAACAAATTATATCATATTACTCACTATCACATAATATCATGTATGGCAATTTCCTCACTACTGACAAACACAACAACACAACTGCACTCATCAGCAATGTCCTGCAGATCCTCCAAGTACACCTTTAGCATTCAATCATAGGTGTAAACAAATAAAGAACACAAAACTCCTGCAGATCCTCCAGCATTAATTTTCAGGCCCAGCTTATCTATGTTGTCGAGGCATGCCATTATTTGTCTTGTATTTTCTAGCTCCTCTGTCAAAGACATCCAAGACATGAAAAATCTGGACTGCTCAGTTATAATAATAAAACAAAGAAGTGAGTGCAGAGAGCAAACACCAGTACTTTTTCTTTACAACTTGCCTTTGCCTAGAAACAATGATTCAGTAAAAAGATACATCTCAAATGAATTTTGCAAGATTATCAATAAAGCAATCCAATACAAGGGGACATCAACATAAATGACTCCTTTTCCAACACTGCTGGATCACTGTAGTCTTCCCAGTTCCGTGGTTCCCAACAACGATGTGATAAGAGCTATGGTCAGGGCTCAACTCGAGAATTTGTTTCAGTTTCTTGATAATAACCTCACGGTAAATCAGCCGTTCCCGCCGCATAACATTAGATTCTAGACAGGAACCGCGTTCAAAGGCATGAAGAAGAATTCTCTCATTCCGGCGGTTGTACCAGTTGGCGAAACTGAGGTCGAATAATATTAGGCCAGCGCTGGTAACAATCCCAATACCGATCCATTTTGAAATCTTCAGCATTGTCAAGGTGTAAGTCAGAAAACACCATCTGTGGGCCGAAAAAGAACATATTGATCACAGGAACAAAAAGGTACAATACCAACCTTCTTTACGCCCTCTTTTATGTTCTCTTTACATTTCTTGTTCCGGCATCCTTGGCATATGAGTAAGTATTGTTTTGGCGAGCCTGCATTTCACAACAGTCACGTATACTTGTGTGAGGGCCGAAAAATATGGGAATAAACTCTTGAGCCCTCCTGAGAAGCGTGGTCGTCCACGGTATTCTTGACGAGAAATAAAAAAAGTGCGCGTATTGCGTGATACAAGGCTCAGCTTGAAATATACACGAGTTCACAACGTCGATCTGTGAAGCTTAACGCACCAACAAATTTACTATAGAGAATAAAGAGCATAAATATTTAACCTGTGCACTGTCATCTAAGAGTCAAATACCAATAAATGTCAAGGCTATTAAATTATCCGTAATTGCCGCAAACGGTATTTTCGTGAAATGTGGATATCTGTTTTCCGGTTTTTAATTTACGAATGGTGACAGAGCACCTTTTTACTTTAGCTATGAGTGTTTGTTTTTCATTCCGCAGTGTAAGGTAATGTGTTTTTATTTTTATAGATCAGTGCACCTAGTAAAATCATAATAAATTCTGCTAGCCATAACAATTTATTGTCCTGCACTATAATTATCAAGTAAGCCTATTATATTACTGTTGTTGCATCTTTTAAGGATACTGTGAAACTTTGTTTATTAATTACAAATTAAAGATGAGAAACGAAGGTTTGGGTTTGTGCGATGTTTTACTAACTTTATATTCGGAGACATTTGACATTTATAATTCTTCTACCAATTATACATATTTTGTTAAAATACCCAAGAGTATGTACCTTATACTTGGTATCATTCCGACACCAGACAGTAAACAATGAAAACGTCGTATGGTTGAAAACATAACAATAGAGTGAATATTTACAACAAGCAATTAACATATTACCGCACCGGTAGATAACGTTATACCCCTTCTTTTTATGATTGTACGACGTTATATAAAAAAAAGATGCATACCGAAACCGTAGCTGCCCGTATGATTCACGTTGGGTGAATTGATTAAGTGGACAGGATAATAGTAACAGTGTGGTTGATGCCATGATGTATGGGAATAGCAGTAGAATAAGGTGGGCAAACGCAGTACTTGAGCGGTTATCAAAGTATTCTATCTGTGATGCCTGCTGATATTAATATCGTTGTTGTGAATATTAATATATACCCTGTTATAAGATGACGTATAGCATATTAATTACATCAGTTGCGTAAGCAATAATAATAAGAGTTACGCCGTTATTACCTAATCGATAATTGTGATGATGGTGCACAATGTGCATTTATCAAATTAAATACATTGGCAGAATATAAACAAATCAATAACTTAGACCTATTAAAATACTAGCAATATTCACGGCATGATCTTACCCAATCATCAAACAACCATCAATATTTATAGTTATCGGGTATTAGCAAACCTCTCAACCTATATATAGTCTACGTCTTTTTTTTATTATTATCATACCTTCACATATTTATGATACTTCACAAGCCCATTTCTTCGTCTTAATCTTGCTTCTCCCCTCCCCTTTTCTTCTCTTCGTCTCATCCCATCCATATCTTTAATATCTTACACATTTCACCTAAATCAATGAATTCGAAACCCGCGAAAGAAAAAACCGTAGACGACAAAGCTGAAGAATCAGGATCTGAGAAGGCTAAGGAGGCAGTGGCCGAAACGGCAAAATCATCTACGGATGAAAAGATTATCCTGAATGTAGGCGGTATTAAGGTAAGCAGGGGTATGGAAGGTGTGTATACATAGGTATAGACAGACGAACATGGCCGAGCTCCCCAAGATCAATTTGCGATTGAGGATGAGCAAGTGCATAATCAATTAATGGCATATGCTCGATATATCAGACAACAATCATCGGTGTTGCGAGACTGAGCAGACCCCAAAGGGAATTATGGCATTACCACTGATTCTATGACACCACACCATTGATGGCGTATCTGACTTGTCTCTCGCATCTTTTACCCCTCTAGTTTGAAACCTACCGCGAAACCCTCACAGCATACCCAGACACGTTGCTAGGAACAATGTTCCATCCGCGCAACCAAGAACTTCTTCGACCAGTTGATGGCACTACCAATGAATACTTTTTCGACAGAGATGGAAATGCTTTTTACTACGTTATGGAATTCTACCGAACCGGAACTATCTCTTGGCATCCACCACACGATCCGCCAGCAACACCAAAGTATTCACAATTTCCCATCCCTAAAACTCCCGCCTCACCCACGACAGGTACTAGCATAGTAGCCTGTACAGATGGACAATGTCCACCATTCATAACATCCTTGGCACAGATAGAAAATGAATTCCTATTCTTCCAAATACGCCAACCGTACACCAAGGGCGATTTATCCTATAAGGCCGGAGGGGAGTTGCTTGATGACTTTGCTTATGCAATCGAAGAGCTTATCTGCTGCGCCATCGCTAAAATAGTAGATCGTATCGCTGTCACTTTTTATCGTGATGGTACGCCAATGGAATGTCCTATCTCAACTCCTGGCAACAAGTTGAAAGATTTCTCCGTCAACGGATACTGTATTATCAACCATTTTTATGAAGACATAAAAGGATATTTGGAAAGTGTATACCCTCAGATCCAATTCAAATTGGATTTCGGTACCAATTATAAAAATGTCACTATCTCTATGAGTTATCTCTTTAAAAGAAACACGATTAGAATGCATAGCAAGGTTGGAAGAGTCAATTTGACCGAGAATAACGATATCAGGAATAGCAAACAAAGGCAAAGTGAAATGAGTGGTAATAGAGTTTGAAAAAACAAACCGAAAAAAAAAAAGAGAAAAGAAGAAGCAACAATGACAACAACAATAATAATAACAAGAAGAAGAAGAAGAAGAAGAAGAAGATGATGATGATGATGATGATGATGGTGATGGGTATTCATTGATTGTGAGGGGGAGAGATTCAATCGCCCTAGGCCTTTTTAGCTCACCTCTTTAACCATAATTGTACAATTACGTTTTATTTTTGATATACGTACCAATAGATCCCATATAATACTATTCAGTCTTTACCGCTCTTTTTTTGTTAAAATAAACAATTGTCTTAATAACTGAGAAGAAAAAAGTAATAAATTTGAAAATTGGGCTTGTAAATTACGTAACGTATGCTCACATGATTTGCACATATAAAGAGGATGCGCGAAATATTATGTAAGTATTACATGTGCCCCGAGACTTGCTTTTACACTTATTTGTCATCTTTCTTTCCGAACGTATTCAAAGAATAATACGAACACGCGTCAGACAAAGACGCAATAATGCAATGCGATTATTCTGATTATTGATTTCGACTTAGTCAAATGACGATCTTTCGTCCCCGTATTCTGGTCCTTGTACTGCAAATTCAACCGTACAAACAAAGAAAAAAAGCCCACAAGCAGAATCAAATAAGAGAACTTATGAGGGGGGAGATTTGAGTCGATTCTGATTAATTCATGGGATCCTAGCGAAACTTCGGCCTTTACCAGACACAAACACGGTAAAATGCTCACGGAAAGAGTCCTCGTTGCAAAGCAGGAAGTAGAAAGATGATGCAACAATAACAACAACAACAACAGCAGCAGCAACGAATAAATTTGATTGTGCCAATGATTCGCTGCTGCAAGCTGCGAAAGACATTCTTACTTTTTTTTGTGCTAGAAACATAGTAGAGGTGATGGTAAACGAGGAGCAGTTTGATGAGATAATGCCGCATCCATTAGTAGCAAGTTTGGGAATCGAAAGAATGTACAATTTATGGGGTTGTCGAACAGAATTATTAACGGGAGTAGATTTAAGACTGGATACTACGCGTTGTGTGCACAAAGAATTTAAAACGTATTATGAATTGGTGAGGTCTATTGTTGCTAGTATTGTTGGGATTGAGGAGGATAGAGTCTAATTAAATGGTATGCATATTATACCGCCTTTGGCAGACATAATTGAAATTTTATCTTCCTGTGTTATATATTAATATTAATACTGAATAATTAATTTCAAACTCAGCTTTCAATAGAATCTTTTTTAAATTGGTTTTGTATCTACTTACATTATAATTTGAATGCATAAATTATTGGCTCTTCACAGTCCTATGTTGATATTTAGACAATATTTGTATGCATAAATGTAAGTTTTACACAAACTTATTGCTTTTCTACTATCAACTATGTTTCTCTGAGTAAAGTATGAATAAATCACTGATATTTAATATTTTAATGTCAATACTGCAGGTACAAATTGTTCAAATACAGAGAATATAAGTTATTCATCTATCAAGTATGCACACACATACACATGAGTCAATCTTATATAATCAATTAACCTTCTCTGACAATCACTTGAAAGACTTCAATCTCATCTATATCACAAACACAATCATCTAATAATCTCTGGCTATATGCTCCATGCTTGTAAACATATTGATGACCTGTTGAAGAAATATAAACCTCCAAATCACCTCCAAAACTAAAATGACAATTTTCCTCATTGTCAACTTGATTATATATAGCACGACTAGAATTCTTCACTGAACTCAAAACTGTTTGATAAGTTAATAATGGAACCCCATCTACTGTTTTCAGAACCAGGCTCCTCATTAGAAATATAAAACTATCCTTGGTCTCAAACCATTTGCTTGATTTTTGCCAGCCAAATGGATTATAACCACCCAATATCCTACCTGTACCATTGGTTGCTACTACAAATACTGTTGCTCCCTTATTGACACATTTCTCTGAAAAAATGGATTTGTCCAACCCATCTATGGTTCCACAAAAAATCCGTTTAAAAAGGTATGATTTCTTGGTTGGACTTTCACTTGCTTGAATCCATGCTTCAATGGACTTACAGTGTTTCCGCAAAAGTAAATTAGATTCAAATGGAACATACTGTTGTGGGACTGGTATCTTAGAGCTCCCTGGATCAAAATAGTGCTCTAGAAGATCTTCATAGTAATTCTCTCGGAAGATACATCTATATGGATGGATTTCTTTATGAAAATCACGTGATGATATTCGAAAATACTTGATAAGTGGCCAAAGATCTTTAAGCCTGTCTTTAAGAGCATCTCTTTCAGAAGATTGGTAATCCTTAATGTCTTCTGGGAGTACTGGATCTTGAGCAATAGCCCACTTAATAGTTTTTTGCCAGATTACAATCTCTGGAAGGTTAAGGTCAGGTCGTTTCAGAATATCAATTAGATTTTCTTTGTCCAATGAAGTAAAATCTGAAGAATCAAAAACAGATTCGGGCTTTTCTTCAAATATTGCATTAACCAAGTTGTTGAGTACTTGTAGTCGTGGATGTTTTTCACAAAATGATTTGATTGTTACTGCTTTGGTTTCCATTGCCTTTATAAATTTTGCATGTATCAAATCTTGTACAATTTCACTTGGTTTTTGTAATTCTAGAAGATCAATTGCAGATATGAGTTGCAAATACTCATCCATAGACTCGGACAGTGTATCCAATTGTAATATTCCTGTGTATAAATACCTAAAACGCAATGCGATTAGCAGGTCAATATTAAGAAGAAGAAAAAGAATTATAATATAAGCTACTAATACTAACTTGAGAATAATGGTAAAGACTGAAGGCGACATTTCCTTGAAGATAGTTCCAGATTCACCTTCAGAATATAAAGCCAAACCATCTTCTGGAGGAAATTCTTTTTTTCCCAGAAAATGTTTGTAAAAGTAAGGTGATCGAACGCAGAGGATGCATTTGTGAGCTTTAAATTCTTGTCTTATCGGTCCTTCACCAACTGTTATGGTAACATCATATGCAAGTTGTTTTTCGTACAGTTCTTTTAAACTGGACAATATCATAGACTCCAAATTGAAGACAACAGGTATTTCTTCAGAATTCATGGTAAGTGGTTGGTATGCTGAATCGGTAAGAGTCAAGAGGTAAACGAAAGATTCTGCGGCCCTACAGATCCACACCATATATAGTAAAATTAAATAGAATGTATACGTAACCTAATCACATGAGCTTTTGTGTGACAAAGCAGGTAGATACTAGTAGAACCGCCATGCTTGTTAAATCAGAATGAGATATTTACTAAATGGAATGTTTTATTAATTCTGTTCCATAATAAAGCCGTCACTTATTTTCTGTATATGAAGATACATTCTGAATAGACCGTAAACCACTGGATGGCGATTCACACGCACGCTTTCTATGGTCTCAAGTCATTGATCCTCCAACTAATCAGGTCTTTGAGCGATAGCATTTCTTCTGCTATATTATAGTGCTAGCAGCTTATGACAGAGACAAATTATACATACAGCAATTCAAAAATTATAAACGGGCATAGTTCGCTTTATCTGAATATGAATTAGGATAACAGACAATTGTATTCCGTATTTGACTATTTGTTTTAACACTATCTTCATATTACAAATTACAGTACGTTATGTTACCGCTTTTCTATTATGCTATGCACGGGACCGTTCCTACTACATTTAAATAAGGAGTACATACAAAGACATCCCGACGAAGCTTCTGAAATGTTCAAGAAGAAGATATATTTAATGCCAGAAAACAAGCAGCGAGCGTATGTAAATGTTAGAATACGTCAGTGAATTTCCACAGCCTTCTTATCACAATTTATACAACTGATTGAGAGATTTGCAAAAGGGAAGGGAAAAGGGAGAGATATAACTAAACGAAGTTCGGCGTTTAATTTGGAGAAGTTTTAATAGGATTACTGAAATCGTTATTAATTCGCTGCTGCAAGAATGTAGATTGCAAACTGAGTATCCTAGTACAGTGGACTCTCCCCAAGTGCAGCTTCTCTAAGTGCAGGCACCATATTTTCCCTCCCTAAATGCAGGATCTTTATAAGACCATTAAGTATTTCACTCTCTATAGATTCTCTATAAATGCATGTTGTTGGCCATATTAATACGGTCCCGTCGGTGTTGCACTTAGGGAGAGTACGCTGTAATTTTTTGTTTAGATATAATAAGTAATTACTAATTAAGACTGATTAAGCCCTCGATGCTCATTTGCTGACCTCTGTGTATTAGTATGTCAGCCAATAAAGATTAAGATTACCGAATTGAATCATTCAATACAATATTCTTAACCACACGTTTATTTGTCATATTATTTGATTCTTATAATAATAAGAAGTTTTGTTTTTTGATTACATCTATTATTTCATAACTTTTAACTTAAACATGGATGACCAATTTTTGTTTGTTATTAGAACTGATCTATTTAGTAGTTAGACAAGATATTTATAATGAATGAATTGTTATAATTAAATTATTAAATTAGAATATACTGTGTATTATTTATCAATACAATGCAAAAATGCCGATTGAGAGAATCAAATTACAATGATCTGTAATTATCCATTATTACTATAATATGACCTTGGTAATAAGAAGCAAAAAAGCAATTAAAATTATTGTCTCATATGGTATAATCAGTTATATTTAAACTTTCTTTGTATTAATGCATTATTTAATTAAAGTACATCAATTGTGTTTACAGACAATGTGGCAAGTTTGTTCAGCCTTTATTTCAATAGAGTATTCAAGTTACTGTTATAATCTACCACCAAGAATTACTTTATAATAACTTTAAAATTTCATTGTCAAAAGTCAGACCACAAACACTTAATTGAGACAATATCTTTATTATGTCTAGCATATGGTAAATATAAAGTGAATACTGATATTAATATGTTGATCAATTTAACTAAATAATAACTTGATTGTAGCAATCATTTCTGAAATATTATGTTGTAATTGATAATCAATAAATTAACTCATGACTTCCTCTCTTTTAACTAGTTGAAAGACTTCAAACTCATCTATTTCTGAAACACAATCATTCAATAGTTGTTTTTCACATGTATTATGTTTGTAGACAAATTTATCACAAATACAAACCTTTAAATCTCTCCCAAACTGAAAGCAACTTTCACTAATATCAAATCCATTATATATAGCACGATTGAAACGTTTCACTGAACTTAAAACAGGTTCACAAGATACCAATGGAATTCCTTCCTCTGTTTTTACAATTTTTTTAGTTATGGCAAATATAAAACTGTCATTGGTGTCAAACCATATATTTGATCTTTGCCAGCTAAGTGGATTGTATCCACCCAATATTTCACCTGTATCTTTTGCTCTTATTACAAATACAGTTGCTCCTTTACCAATACACTTTTCTTTGAAAATAGCTTGTTCAAAACCATCCACAGAACGACAAAAAATCCGTTTAAAAAAGTATGGATTCATGGTCAAACTTTCACTTCCTGTTTGTGAGTAAATATGGTTTCCAATGACTGTACATTGTCCCCTGGTAAGCAAGCATGATACAAATGGAATATGGTTTTTAGGAACTGATATCTTAGAATTACTTGGATCAAGGTAGTGTTCCAAAAGATCTTCATAGTATTCATCTGAAAAAATACATTTGTATGGATGTATTTTTTTATAGAAATCAGGTGCAGATATACTGTGAAATCTGATAAGTGGTAATATATTTCCAAGCCTGTCCCGGAGTACAAGACGTTCTGATGATTGGTATTTTTTAATATTTTCTGGTAGTGCTGGATCTTGTGCAATAGCCCATTTTATAATTTTATCCCAGATTACAATCTCTGGAATATTGAGATCAAGTCTTTTCAAAATGCCAATTAGATCTTCGACATTCAACGTAGTAAAATCAGAAGAATCAAAAAAAGACTCTGGCCTTTCCATGATCACTGTGTCAATGAATCTGTTTAACATGTGTAATTGTGGATGCTGTTTGCAGAATAACATAATTGCTACAAGATTGGTCTCTAGTACACTGGCATATTTTGCGCAGATCAGTCGTTGTAAAATTCGGCTTGGTTCTTGCAATTTGAAAGTATCAAACGTAGATAATAACTGTAGGTACTCGTTCATGGAATCTGTCATCTCAGCCAGTTCTAATTTCCCTGTATACATGTATCTATAATATAATAAATACAAGATTAATACAGCTAACATAAATAAGAATATGTTATAATTTTAGAAGTATCTACTACTACTAACTTGATAATAATCGTGAATGCAGAAGGCGACACATTTTCAAGGACAAGCGCAGTTTCATCCGCAGGATATAAACACAAATCCTCTTCGATAGAAACTTCGTTTCCCATGAAGATTTTGTGAAAGTATGGCGACTGAATGCAGAGTAGGCATTTGTGGGCTTTGAACTCTTGGCGCGCTGAATCTTTTCCAACTACAATAGTAATATCGCATGCAATTTGTTTTTCATACAATGTTTTCAGACTAGACATGAGAGATTGCTCCAAGTTGAAGATACTCGGCTTTTCTTCACTCTTGACCTTCGTTGGATCTCCTGTGGCTTTTCCATTATTTCCTTCGCTATCGCTAGTCTTTTCTTCAACCATTTTAGTGTGACGCTCACGTTCCGCTTGAGGTAATACTTTAATAGACATAAGTACGCTTTCTGTAGCATCGTGGGAAATCAACATGACAAAAGGAGTTGGCTTAATCACATGATCAATAGTCTGCGACATTTGTACGACTTTATTGCAAAGCTACGGCCCGCTATTGTACGCCTCAACCAATAACTAAATAACTGTTCTGTAATGCTGTGTTGATTATCTATAATAAATAATAATAAAGCAAGTTAGAATGGTAAACCTTAAGACATTCCGGGCTGTTGATAGGTCCAGCTATATTTAAGCAAGGTCTGATATCGAATCATTCTATCTATTATTGCTATATTTGCCAAGCAGTATGCACCAACTTGCACCAAAGCAGCCTACCTTGCATCCTGGTTTCCATATTAATAATGATGTCTAATCAATGAGTTTCACAAACAGTTCACATACATGACAGATCTACTCGTGAACTAAAAACGCTCGCAATGCCACCACACAACCATCTTCAGTTGTCCATTTCGAACTACAGTATACCTCTTATATAGTCACCCCATGCCATGTCCATGTAGTCATGTTTTTTGTTGAAACCAACCGATTTTATAATAAATTTACACCTATTTAGGCACATTTTGACTATAGTCACTATCACACACCCATCCATGGAACGGCATAATAACAGATAATGCCTCCCTTTTAGTCACATCACGTGAACAAAGTATTTAATAGTTTTTAGTTGTTTCTTCACTTTATAAAAGAACGTCTATCAGTGACTGCATCTTCCATGTACATAATAAGACTTTTAAACAAAACTTACTTTAACTCTAAATATAGTCTCAACATTGACCGAACGACTATCAGTAAAATAAAGATAAGCGGAAGAGGGGAGGGTCTAAAACATCGTAAAGTCAAATTTCCTTTGTTAGTATAGGAAGAACGTTTCTGTCTATTACTTGCGATAAATGAAGCAGTTATTTCGCCAGTGATTTTGGAATAAAGTTATATCAACAATATTATACAATTATTATTATTTATATTACTTAATTAACGATTTGTATTTATGAATACCTCACGTGTCTATGAGTAGTAGTAGTCACATTCATTCACATTTCGACACCTTACACGTGCCATTCTTTCGCGCGGCCAATTACTTCCTTTACTGTATATGCCCACATACCACCGTTCTCGCATCCCAGTATACTGTAAGTTAGTTGCTGCCAAAATGTTAACTGTTACGAAGAAATCACCGTACCAGTCACAAATTGATCAACAATGACTATTAGAAGATCTTGTAATAACTTGAACGATAAATTCGCTGCTCGCAATGCTTGATAGGTATAAGTTTTCCACGGACAATTTTATGCAGAATGTAACGACCTAATACGTAAATTACGGTATCGTTATGCTTATAATAATAAACGTTACGTGTGACTTTTTACAAAGTACAGCTTTTATAATTTTTGAACTTTGAAGTTGTCTATTCTCAATGAACCAAATAGTGTCTGTGAGTAGATAAATGTATTGTAGTATAAAGAAACATCGACAAATTAAGTGTCGACTTGTTTTCGCAATTCGTATTCGAAATAAAAAACAAGAACTCGCCATTGTCCATTCGTACCATCGCGCTGTCATACAGAATAAAATCCATCATAGACAATAAAGAGTCACATATAATATGGAGCTTGACGTATTTATATAGAAAAGAATTGTTTTCGCTTCCAAAATACGCATAAAACAGAAGAAGCAAAATACTGTACATAATTGTTGAAACATCATCATTATGGCACAATCTAAGTCAGACAATACGACTTGATACATGTCAATTTTGCCGCTTCTGTTGACTGCTTTTCATAGCATAAACTATTTTTTTTATAGTGATATAAATTGACAACATTCTACTTGGTTTTCGAATGCTTATTCGGAGTTCGCGTACATACAAGTTCCTCAGGATCAATTCGTTCTTCACGTGCAGACCGCCTTCTTTTTCTCGCATGCTTCATCTCAATGTTCATTAGTAGTCTTGAAGCCTCTGTGGCTTTCACCTGCAATGTCTTCAGAACTGCAAATGCCTCCTCTAACGAGTAGAGGGTATCTTTGTTGTTTGGTACGAAGCATTGATCGATCAATCCGAAAAGGTAGACTCCCCCGCCACACCAGACCATAGCGTAGATATTTATTTGTAATCCTGAAAAACAATATCAGATCGCAAACGTTATCGCAAAATCGCAAACGTTATGGCACTGAAATTCAGATGAAATATTGTAACACATACCGACCACGTGGACTCCATATACAACTAAATGCAAGAATTCAGCACAACCTAACTTGCTGTATGTTTTGATGAGCTGATTTAACTCATCTCGCAACATAACCATAAGCTTGAGTTTATCGAGCCATTGCTTACGCTTGCAGGCCGCTGTCTTTCCGTCCTTGATACCACCGGAAATCTCGCCATGGACAATTTGCAGCTTGTAATTCGGCTTTTTCAAGCTAAGTTTGAAATCCACCTTATGACCAAGTTTGGCCTTGTTGTTGGGGCTGACGTTACTATTTTTTGCGTTGGAACTCGAGTCCGAAGTAACATCTCCCCTAATTGAGTAGAAACAAAGTTATTTAGTTCTTTGCCCAATTTGTGTATTTCCCATTTCGGTAACCTTCCCAAGATCTACGATATTGTTTAAGCATAAGATCATCATGCTCACCATTCCAGCTGCGACGTGATATCATCACGGAGAATTGTAACAATCAAAGGATAATACAACGCGTGTGTGACATGAGACTCAGACATAAGGGCTTCAAGAGGATAACTCGCCTGTCTGCTGCAAACACAGTAAGCAAATAAAGCGTCAGGACAAATCAAGCCGGCACAATAAACAAGACAAATACTTACAGGAACTCAATTGCAACATGGAAGGCTTTCAGATCCTCTCTTGCTTCAGATGATAGCGTGCAATCTTTGTCAAAGTACTGCGCGAAATGCTCAGGAGTTTGGATGGATTGCCATTGAACCACGGAACCAAATATCTCTCGAAGTTCTTGCCAATCTTCAGTAGTAAATGCAGACTTGAGCTCAATATACTGGCCAGTCAAATCAACGACTCCGTAATATGCCGGATTTAAGATTTTGTTTTTCGAGGGGATCTTCGACCGTATGTATCGGAATCTTGCAAACACATCCAAATTACTTGATAGCACAAGGCGTCCACCATTCTGTGACAAGAGATAACAACTTTAGATTCAAATAAACTCAGCCAATAAACTGTAACTTACCCTCAAAGGTTGTTTCCGAACTCTGTCAATTGAAACCATGTCCTCTTCGGCAAGGCTTTCTTCAGCAATAGATGAGATAAGGTCCTCCTGGATAGATTCAAACAATGGTTCGATTGATTCTTGGACATAATCATTGCTATCGATTAATGTTGAAGTACTAGTGCTGGAAAGAATGGCAACCGATGGAGGAGTATGAGCTTCATCTTCGCTGATGTTCTGTTTTAGTCCTTCATCATGAATATTTTCAGGTTTTTTGTAATATGACTGTTCCAAATTATAAGAAACTTAAAACTTCTAATCCTCTGTTACAATGAGAGCACATTGAAACAAGCTTACATTGCTGAGGTCTTGTGTATGAACGTCACTTAGTACGGTTTTATCTTTGACAACATTTGTCATTGCCCGTGTTTCATACATTTTCTGTTGTAGACGACTATAAGTCATTACATTCAGACAGCTAATTTCAAAAAGAATAAATAGTTTAGTTGCTCACATTTGTATGAGAAAGGTCCAATTGATTAAAGTACTGGCGAATTTCGGGACGTCTCCAGGTGACATCAAAATTCGATTCCAGACTTTCTAGTTTCCGCTTAGCATTTACAAATAATGCATTAGATTTGCGACGACTTTTGATCGTATCTCTTATAACAGTTGCAACTTCATCCATACTGGCAGAAGTAAATGTTGGATTCTTGATCTTGTGCAAACATTCAACGATATTCCATTCAGTATAATTGACCTCATTGAAATACTTATCTATTTGTTTATATACTGGCTCCATTTAGGATATCTAGAAAATAAAACTGAAGACCGATTAGCTTTAATGAAAAGAATACTAAATAACAAGTAAGAGAACTTTGAAGGGGACTTTGATTTTACAGCAACTGGTCGGCAATCGGCCTGGAGACGGTGACAATGAGAAGACATGGAACATGCCATCAAAGCAGCTATCCAAGATTCATGCCGCCAAGCATCAGCCGAAGGGGGTCGCAAGCAGCGGTGGTGCACAATCGGGTGTAGGTGCTATAAAATCACAATATCTGGTCGGCAATCGGCCTGGAGACGGTGACAATGAGAAGACATGGAACATGCCATCAAAGCAGCTATCCAAGATTCATGCCGCCAAGCATCAGCCGAAAGGGGTCGCAAGTAGCGGTGGTGCACAATCGGGTGTAGGATATTGTTGTAAGTCCATAACACATAAATTTAATACATATTTACTTTCCTAATTATAAACCAGCGCGCGATTAAGACGGGAAACGCGCGCGTCAATTAAATAGCAGTCAGCGGAAATGTCACAGGATTTTGCTCGTGTGATCGATGGAAAGATTTTTAGTCATGTGATCAATGAATTTGATAAAACATCATTCTAGACATAGGATTATCCGTGACAAATAGCGAATACAATGGCTCAACTGAATATGAAAAGGCCATGCGTTTCTTGGAGATAGGTTGCAACTGTGGTTGTTCAAAAAAATTTCGAGAGAAAAGTTTGCCGAGTTACGTGAAGCGTTTCAAGCTCTCTCTAGATCCGAACAAGATATATTTTTAATGGCCCAGCTGAAAGCAATGAAATGACCGCCAGTCAACGTCTTAAAAAGAAAATGCGTACTAATAAAAGAACTTTTTACTATTGAGATCGCAATATGCCACTTTGTCACTCAACATGTTAGGAATTGGCCGCACTCACTTCGAAATCACCTAGCAACGGGTGGTATAATACCGCGCGTTCATGGTAACATAAAACGAATGCCGCAATGAAAGACCAAAATAACCATTGATATGTACAACCGATGCTACCGCCGTGAAAAATTTTCTCGAGAATTATGCTGAAATTCATGGATTACCAAGTGTCCTGGTAGAAACGTCAACCGAATTACTCAATCGCTTACACTTTTGCCAGCCGAAACGAGTTACAAATCGGTCTATCGTGATTTTATTGCAGGACTCGAAAAACGGTAGCACGTTGAAATTGTTAAAATGCGATGCGTTCCGCAAGTTATGACGCCTTATATTCAAATAATGAGTCCAAGAACGGATTTATGCGACACGTGTCAACATTTTCGGAACGGCAAAAGATTTATTGAAAAAATACAAAGAACATCTGGTTAAGGTCTAGTTAGAGAGAAATTATTACAACAAAAATACAAAAATAGCAAAACAACAGAGGATATTAGTAGGCGAGCATTTTATAACAAGAGATAAAGCTGATTATTGTAGCGTTGACGCTACTGCTCATTACAGTTGCGATTGGTGACAGCGTTAGTTACTATGTCTCTCTGTGTCACCTGACAGGCTAGGTTATTGAAAAACCGCGAACAGTAGTAATGTCTTAGATATTAGTATCAAAAACATGACTGTGCCGTCTAGTAAATTGTCGTTATAGGTTATGAATTTGCATAGTCTCAAGACTTTGCGACCCACTATAAATCATGTTTCATATTCATAACTTTATTCATAAGATTACAATAAACTTTCTAGTTTAGTTGATGACTGTATGACAATATAATAATATTGCATTTAAAATGAAAAAAAAAAAAAAACCACCTCGATCGTCCTCTATTTCCTAACAGTTCTCTTAATACTTATACATCGACTCTTATTCCCCTCTTGTACCACTCGCTCACTCTCTTTTTCAACTTCTTCACTTTTGATTCCAACTCCACTTCCGTCATTATCGTCTACATAATCAACTGTCTCGCTAGTAACGCTTACTGCATCACTGACTATATTAACTTCTTTCATACCCTGTTCTACATTCTCTTCTACACAGCCGTCCACAGGCTTCCTATCTATCTTCTCATTCCACTTTTCGTTATACGTCTTTTTGACAATCTTGAATACTTCATACTCTTCAACCGAGAAATTCTCCGCGCTCTGTCTAATATCCTTATCGTAACTCACTCGCTTACAAACACATAACTTCTCTTCTTTAAAATGTCCTTTCAATCCCAAATCAGCCTCCCCAAACCATGGTCCCCGTACCGAAGAATTAGCAATAGCACAGCCGTAATGCTTTACCCTAGATACGACAGGTTTATCTTCAATCGAGTTACCAAACGAAAATATAAAACTCCTTGTTGCATGTTTCCATCTGACTAGTGCCCGTTTAGGTGCATACCAATTATTAGGCGTATATCCGCCAATAATCTCTTCTGTGTCGCGTACTTTAATAACCGTTACCGTTGCTCCTTGCTTACTACAATAATCATGAAACTTCTTGGAAGTAAAACCATCACGGGAACCTCTTAGTAGCAAGTGAAACTCGTACGGGTTGTTTTCAGCTTCGGGTGTGGTCAATCCTTGATCTATCCAGGAAGCTATCACGGCAGCGTGTCTAGTGTTAATCAAAGTCGACTCGATGGGACCCCTTCGTGGACGTATACCAGAATATACGATCTCGTCAGGTGGCATGATTTGTTTGTACAACTCAGATGGAACTATATAGTGATATGGTTCCACAAGCGATTTGAAATTGTCTGCAGAGATGTTAAAGAAGCGTATCAAATGTAAATAATCTTTGAGCGTTGACTTGAGCGAGTCAATGTCAGACTGAGTCCAGCAATCCGCATTTCTTTTTATGCCTTTTGTGTTTGCAAGTCCCCATCTTATTGTATGACTCCACACATTACACTCATGCATTCTCAATTCATCTTGCAATAACAACGTTTCTAACAGCTTTTCTTCTACATCATCAAAGTCATCGCTTTCAAACACTAATTCCGGCTGTGATTTGATAATTTCATTGAAAAAGTCTTGGAGTAGCTTGAATGGTGGGTGTTTGAATGCGATGCGATGAACCAGTGCCAGATGTCGCTTAAGCCAGGGTGAGTAAGTAGAAAGAACGAATGTTTGGATTGGAATGATGAGTTCGTCTACGCGCAATGTATCTGCTGCTTCGAGTAGGGAAAGTATCGTTTGTGGAGGAATATGAGTTATATCTATTTTTCCACTGTAAAAGTATCTGTTAAAGAAAAGGATAACGGAGGATGGTAAAAGTCTGGTTAGTCTATAGGGGATGGAGAGGGCATGTTCGTGATGTAGGCACGTGATATTAGTATACCTCTCTATCTCTCTCTCTCTCTCTCTCTCTTCGACTAGACTCGTTGCAATATACCAAAATCAATCCATTCTGTACTCAAATAAACATTGTTGTGTGCATATAAAACTAACCTCAACAATATTTCGAATACGTCTGGATCCACGTTCGATTCATTGAGCAAGATAATTCCGTTCTTTGATCTAATCCATTTTCTTGATAATGCTGCTTTAAAATACAAAGATCTTGCTCGTAATATGAGAGAATGTGCTTGAAACTGTTTCGTATTTTTCTTTGAACCCACTGTGATTAAGACGTTATTCAATATGCTATGGTCAAGGAGAGTGTGTATATCTGAGGAGAATCGGTCCATGAATGAAAGTGCCATAATGGGTAAAATCCAGAACGCTTAATGATATTTTAAACGAATGTACAAGATTGGAGTGATGGTGTATGTGTTGAGAGGGGGGGGGGGGGATTCGAAGCGGAGTATTGACGTTCTTATGTAGTTAAAAAAAGTAATCTTTTGTGTATTTGATGTTTGCAGATTCTTTGTTGTTGCTGTATACTCGACTTTTGTCAATCAATGTGGCAAATACTTCCAAACATTTATCCGTTCATTCATAATCGTTCCTTATTTTACATGAGCATAAGGATGAAAAACAAGATTTTAGCGATAGGTCCATTGTTATAAGAAAGGGAGAGCATTCTCGTGAGTAGCGACTGAACATATGAAGCAAGTTCGATTTCATGCAAGTGAGCAAAGAGAGAAGTTTATCAGGCATCGTGAATCAATTATGCACGCCCCTGAGTAAAAAGGAAATCAAATGCGTGATGGGGTGTTAGATCGCATAACTTATTAAAGAAAAGAGAGGCGGACATTACTGTTCTTGGGTAAAAGATGAGAACAAATATGCAAGCTTAGCAAGAGCTACTTTTTCTTGACTTGCAGCTGGGTTATCCGTACCAAGAATCTTTATTTGATATTATCGTTTTATTGTATTAATTAGTGCTCTTTTTTTTTCCTTTTTTTTTTTTTTATAAAAAATTTTATTTTTTTTTTGCCTGCAGTCTCTCGCTTGTGGCTGGCTCAATCGATCTGCAGAACCCTTGCCGATCACTTATCCGTACCTATCGTTTATCAACTAATCGGAACTATTGTCCTCGAATTGCCATCCCTTAAATACATACATCCAATTGTTATTTTATTGATTAGAAAAATGCACGAGTGGATAGAGTTTTGTTTTTGTTGAGTAATGGAAGAATGCGAGAATGTGATGCGTATGAACATATGTCGTAGAACATTCAAATTCTTGGGTCACGTGTTAAGATAGACGATGGGCGCACCTTAACAATAATTGTGGATCGGAGGTTTTGATTGGTCACCCGGAATATTGATTCCAATTTCCTCAAGTTCAGAAGTACCAAGTACCATCAAAAAGCTTACCAATGTGTCAATGCTTTTAAACCTGAATCTTGTTGTTTATCGAAAACATTCAAACATAAATTCCAAGAAATGTCATCATTCACGACCAAAACCCCATTAAGAGGATCGAAAAAACTTCTCCGTCCTTTATCTTACCGTTACATCAATTACACCGAGATGTTCCCGCCAAATATTAAACAATTGATATCAGATACTTTCAATGATGTTATTGATCCCTCTAGTTCCAGTGATGTCATTGTTTCTTCTAGTTCCAGTGACGTTATTGTTCCCTCTGTCATTCCTCCAATAAAACGAGATCCCATATCCGAAATAGTCCAGAACGAACAGCGCGATGTGAGGATCGAAGTCGGAGAAGGTGAAAATGCAAGGACTTTTATGGTGCACTCAATGGTGTTGATGCACAAGGCCGAGTATTTTGAAAAAGCTTTCAGTAATCCATGGGTAAGGATTGAAGATGGGGTTAAGGTGTTCAAAAAGGGATTTATTCCTCCTGCCGCGTTTGAGGTTATTATTGAGTAAGTTGCAACAAAAATCAATTTCAAGCTTAAAGAGAAATGACTAGGGTAATATCACTTATTGAATAGACATATAAACTATTTAGCGATCAGTGAGTTAATCAATTAGGCGGTTAGAAACTATACTCTCATGGATAGCCAGCCAATCAAACTGTCCGACTAGCAGTGGCGCGCACATCCTATCCTATCGATCATACTCTGTTACATACACACCCTAGCCATTATCCTTGTTTGTGGACCGCCTTTCTCCCAATATCACGTTACACCTAATATTCAATTGTCTTTTTTATATTCAGATACTTTTACAGGAACAAGATTTCTCCAAACAACCTCTCGTCTGAAGCTACCTTGACCCTTCTTCTATCAGCTGACGAGATGTGTCTACCAATCTTGCATGAAATTCAAGTCTGTCTCATCAAGCTTCATAGTGACTATTTGCATTCGCGATTCGCATACATATATTCATTCTCTCGAGATCGAGAAGAATTTGCCTTAATCCAGGAATATTGTCATCGAACGATCAAAGTAACGCCAGAAGTCGTGTTTACGAGTAGTGATTTCATGGATGCCGAGGAAGACGCCATTATCGAAGCGTTGAACACTCGGAATTATGTTCTTGATGAAGGAAAGGTTTGGGACATGGTTCTAGATTGGGGTATTAACCAAATGTTAGCAACCATGGAAGATGAAGACAACGAAGAAGAGGGGGGTGATGATATTAATACAGAACACACTACTTCTAATACTGCCGATACGTTCTCACCCCGATACCAAATACGGCACTGGACATTGCGTCATTTTTCTGCACTATCCTCGATACTCTCTCGCATTCTTCCCCACTTCCGTTACGGTGAATTTTCTAAAAAGGAATTCATGTCCAAAGTATATCCTTTCAAACAAATATTCCCTTATTCCATGATTCAAGACATTCTAGGGAACTATAAATATCCTCAGTATATTCCGCGGATGCCGAGCGCGCGTCCACGATTTCTTTTGAGCGATATGCACTTGTCGTGGTTGAGCCACACTATTTCCGGTGAGATGGGACTAGATCAAGCACAGTTGGATTCGTATAGGACATATCCCAGACAAGCAAGGCATCATTTCCGATTACTACTTCGTGGTACAAGGGACGGATTCTCTTCAATGACGTTTCATTATCGATGTGACGAACGAGGGCCAACTGTTACATTAATAAAACCGTATGGTACAAACGACATCATTGGTGGATATGTTTCAGTTTCTTGGTTATCCGACTGTAAATATCATGCGGCCGATTCCTCTTTCTTGTTTAGCATAAAAAACGAAAGGCTGATACTCTCAAGAAATAAACAGCGTGAAAGGGTAATGTGGGCAAGTTTGACTTGTGGTCCGTCGTTTGGCGACGAAGAGTTGCTTTTATGGCGCGATAAGTCTACACAGGCATTTGCAAAGTGTAGTAATAAGAATACGGTGTTTGAAAAGAGTATTGGGATACAGGGTGTCTTTGCAGTCGAGGAGTATGAAGTTTTGAGTCTTTCCAAAGTGTGGTAAAAAAAAAAAAAATTGGTTGAACTATTCAAATATTTTTACTCGCCGAAATTTTATTCCCAGCTTCCTTTTTTTTGTAATTGATCATGTGAACGAAACTTGAATTAGGTTGTCCGTGTAATTTCGACACGGAATTTAACCCCCGTGAATAAAATTTTAAAAATTTTCAGAAAAGGAAAAATATCTTACACAAATTATTACACATAATCAACGTCACCCATTAATTTTACATCTTCCCCTTCCCAATTAATAATAAACCCCGGGAACCAATGATGATGTTATTACCTAGTTGGCAAGTTACTGTAACATATTCCAAATGTATGCAATGAATATCCACTCTAAAATTTCAACCTGCATCGTGTTTAGACTAATCAAAGAGGTTGGACCCAAATGGGTAATTATCTCCTCACCTATTATGATGTACCCTGTAAATAAAACTTTAAACATCTTTTTCTCTCCCCTTCATATCAGATCGGAAGGCAAAAAACCACATACAATGACTTGCTTCTGGCGGAAATTAAAATATTGCTTTAACAAACCATTGCTTATTTATAATGATTCGATTACCTACGAAGACTTTGTCAATAGTTCCTTTTCGGCACATTCTTACGATTTATCCAATGGTGATTACGATGTCAAAATCGAGGTCGGAGAAGAACCGAATGTGCGTATCGTTTGGGCTCATTCGTCTATCCTGAAAGAGAGATCGATATATTTTAAGGTTGCTTTGAGTGGTAACTGGACAAGGAAACAGAATGGCATAATAATCTTTAAGAAGCCAAATTTGAGATACGAAGTGTTTGCGTCTCTGGTTAAGTAAGTTTCTCTATGTGGCAAAGTCGAAACAGTGAGAGAGTAAAATGACACAGTAGAGCGATTGAAACGGCTGCGACACAATGGTATATAAGTCCATGGTTGCTACTTTAATTCAATGGATGCTCTAACATTTTTTCTGTTCAGTCAACTAACTCTCGCTTTCTAACTTTTTATGCAAATCTTCTGCATACTCGCCCTCTTCTCAGATACTTGTACACTGGACGGCTGTCACTCCAATCGACATCCCCACTCACTGCGCTGGGCCTTCTTCAAGCAGCAGATGAGCTATGTTTACAAGAACTTCTCGATTACATACAGCGTTACCTTTTACGAAATCCGACATGGTTAGAAAAGAACTTTGCCCTGCTGTACTCGACATGCGTTCCACACAGCGCATTCACACGGCTACAAGAATATTGCAACCACGTTGTCGAAGACCTACCGTATTTAATATTTGCATCTGAAGACTTTACATTGCTCGATGATGAGCTACTTCAGTCGCTGTTAAAACGAAACGAGATCGCGATACCAGAAGACCGCCTATGGGTACGACTACTAGACTGGGGAATAGCACAAGCCAACTTGCATTCAAACAAAAACAAATGGACTTTATCAGACTGGCAATCGCTACAATCTGCATTGGATCCGTTTATTCCATTGATCAGATTTCCGGAAATATCACAGTCATGTTTCGTGAGGAAGGTGTATCCATACAGACAATTGTTATCGCATGATAACTTTCATGGCGAATTAACGTTGCCTCGTCTTGGACCAAAACCATCCACGCGCTATCCAAAAGATTTGTTGGACAACCAACAGCTAACGTGGATATCAAAGTATATTGGCGGAAAAGATCCATCATACTCGGAGCTTACTTCGGACAAATTTAATAGCACACAATACAAGTTTGGATTGATCCTCGATGGATGTCGAGACGGATATACATCAGAGACATTTCATAAACTGTGCGATAATCAAGGACCGACAATAATAGTAATGTCGATCAAGGAGACGAAAGAGATTATCGGAGGATTTAATCCTCGTAGTTGGAATTCGTCGGACGCGCGAATAAAGACGTCTTATTCGTTTCTGTTTACCTTGACGAACGGAAAACTGGTCGTATCTCGAGTAGCACATCCGCAGTTGGCGGTGCATTGTCATGGAAAATTTGGACCGATATTTGGAGATTGGGATTTGGTGATGTATGGCGATTTCAAGAAGGATAAAGAGTGCTTCTGTAGACGACATGCTTATACAAAGCATATTAGAGCATTAGATAGTGGAAAGTTTTCGGTTGACCAATTCCAGGTGTGGAATGTCAAAGAAGCCAGTTCATAGTATACAAGAACACTACTCGCACACACACACACACACACACACACACACTCACGCACACACACACACACACATACACACATACATACACACAAACACACACAAACACTAACATACATATACAACACACACACACACACTAACATACATATACAACACACACACGCAGCTCATATATAATAATAATTGGGGGTGAGGGCATATTAGATAATAAAGGGGAATTATCAGGTATGGGTTAATAAATAGACGAACGCATTTATTATAAATGCTTTTAATCAATCAGCTATACAAGTGTCTACAATCAATGCATTGTAAAAATGCTCCCACCCATATATATGTATATATTTACGAAAAATAGATAAATCCGAACCACCATTCGCGTTTCCCATTCCATCCTATCTATCCTATCAAGCAAACAGAAAATGGCATGTCAAACTATTCTACGACTCGGCGGCGTTATCTAATGCTCCCTCCACTTGAAAAACTTCGATTTCTTCGACATTAAAGGTAGGTATTTCTCTCAGCGGTGCTTCGTATGAACTCTTTTTACAATGAGATGGCCTAGACATTATACTCGGACCGAACACAACCAGGTCATGACCCTTCCCAAAGGCAGGACCATTTGAAGATCCACAATAAATCGCTCTTTCGCTATCGATGACTTTAAACTTTTGCAGTTTAGAGCGTGTCCACGGTATGCCCTTGTAGGCTTCCGTCTCTTCTATCAATACCCGGTTGAACAAGAAGCTCTTCGAGGTCCCTTTGTATTTATTACTCATGTCCCAGGGCAAAGGGTTGTATCCTCCAAGAATGTCTTCCGTGTCTTTTACTTTGATTACTACTACGGTTGCACCTCTATTATCGCAAAATCTGTGAAAATTCGCATCGTTAAATCCATCTCTGGTTCCACGGTAAATGAGCCTCATCGTGTACTGAGCGCTTGACGGATCATTGTTGAAGGATTCCGAATCGATCCAATTTGTAATGGCAGCGCATTGTGTCCGGGATAGCAGACGCGAGTCAAATCCCAATCTGTGTTGCTGGATTTCGCGGCTTCCGGCATCAAGAAAGAATTGCAAGGTTTTCTTGTAATAGTCTTTTGGCAGAGAGTCTTGATACGGCTGTACGCTATGGAAAAAGTCTTGTGGTAAGACTTGGCGTATATAAATGTAAGGAAGAAACGATTCTAGGCGTTTGCCAAGCTCGACAAAATCATCATGCTTAAAGTTCGAGGCATCATTTGGAAGGCTCGGGTTTTGTGCCTTGGCCCATTGCAAGACTTTATCCCAAATTTTGATTTCTTCCGTGAGTAAATCGGGTCTTCGTACGATTTTTTCCAATGTCGGTCTATCCAAATCATTCAAATCATTGGCATCGAAAACGTCATCAGGATTGTTGCCGATGACGGTCTTGTCGACGAATTTCTGGAGTAGACTGAGGTTGGGGTGTCCTTGGCAGAAATTTTTGACTCGCACAAACTCGGCTTTCAATTCCTTTTCGTATTTTTTTATTGTATAGGCTTGCGTAAACTTGCAGGGATGGTCCAATTCCAACGTGTGAGTGATTGAAATCAATTCCAAAAAGACGGACATACCAGCCAGGTTTTGTATTTGAAGAATTCCGAAGTACATGTACCTGGAGTTTTGAAAATAAATAAAAGAGTATTACACATTTGATGTAGCAAGTTTTGAACATTAACCAAGTTGCTAACAAACATACTGGAGTACGACACCAAACACGGGAGGTGAAATGTGTTCAAAAACAAAAGGGTCGCCCGTATACTCGGCTATCCCTTCAGTCTCTTCTAACTCTCTTTCAACCAACTGTTTACGAAAATACGGCGAGCGAAGACTCAACATAAATTTATGAGCCTGAAAGGTCTGCTTTGCCAGATCCTTGCCGGCAGATATGGACACGTCATAGTTACTATCTGGCCTAAGTAAATTCTTGATATCATCTAAAAGGTAATCTTTGTAGTCAATAGTCGTTGGTAGGATTGACGACATTGTGTGTTGATATGTAAATGGGTTTTATTGAGGAAGGGAAACCGAAACTCGTGCAATTCGGCTCGAATCTATAAATATATAAGAGATTTTTGAAGGTATCTGACCAATAATTGGTTATCTTTTAAACAAACGATTTCTCAGACTTTTGGCTTTATTACCTTACAATGGTCATTGGACAACATAGGTTTTTATATATTTATTAACGGGTTAACGACACAGCCATACATAAATGAGACAAAGATGTCTTATTGTATAATACAATAAAAGTGTTTTGCATATAGCGCAGAATATAGTTTCTTGTGAAACGATGTTTTTTGAATGACAAGCGTTTATGCTACTTTATTTGAAACATTGGTAACACTGTTCTAACCACAAAAATGTTAGTTTATGCGTGAACACACTAGATGGGGTTTTGCCCATTTGACGAGAGAATTTCCTACGCTTTGTACTACAATCGAATGTCACTTTTTTCTTCTTCAAATCGTTCATTGATATCACTGGATGTTTGGAGGTCGCTGTCAGTGAGAGGGAGTTTTGCAAGTAAGATATACTGTGGGGGTTGACGATAGCTCTCTGTTCTTTCTTGGTCTAGACTCACGTGTCAGATGCATTAAAGTTCAGCCCATGTATTATTTTGTCAAGATTTCGATTATTGATAAAATCTGCGCACACAGTCTTACTCATTTGGTTAGATTGGTGATACATAAATAGCCGCTTTCTTTTTTTTTCCTATTCTTTTCACACTCCTGTATTTTTTAACAATTCGCAATCGGCCAAGGGGACGGGAATACCAAGCTTGACGAAATATTTGACAAAACAAACCTGCGTATGATAATCTATAAGCTATATCCAGATTGGTGTAGTTTTGTTTTGTTAAATTGGGTACCATCCTAGTTTTGGTAAAATTTTGTTATAATTACACCGCCGGCATCTTTAAATTCGATGTTTTCTGCGATGTGTGCGTGCGAGTATGGTGTGTATATGTGTGTGTATATGTGTATATGTGTTGTTTGTGTTTGTGTGTGTCGTGCGTATGCGTGCGCGCTTGAGTGAGAAACAGAATGTGTGAATACGAGTAATTTTATTACCAGCATTTATTACAAATGAAACTGTAGTTTGAGAAAAATGCAACATTTCGAGTTTTTGGCGTCAGAAATGATAATGTCCAAATCCAACTCCATCTAAAAATTTAAATTTGGTCTGCGAATACTATAAATGTAATGTAATGTATACACAGTGAAACTCGATAAGTCGGACAACATATTGTGCTGAGCTAAGTCAGATTCACGTGATTTATATAAAAGTCATGTTACTCACCAATCATTTGGCGATTAAACAAAATGTTTATATCATTGACGATTAGAAAGGACGTTCTTGTAATGTAAACAAAAAAAATTATACGTGATAAAATCATTTTGCATTGCGAAACAACGCATTAATATATTTTTAATATTTCGAAAATATGTATAAAAGGTTGATTTCCCGACCTTCAGAATAATAAAGATCAAAGTTTAAATTCCAACGTGTCAACAATAGCGTATTCGATTAGAATAAGTTAGCGCACTAATGGAAACTGTTGTCTATTTCATATTACGACATTCTAATGTTAATGAGACGTCTTTTACAGAGTTACTCGGAGCACTGTATCCCGCACGTTGAAGCAATGTTAAGGAATTATAGATGTAGGCACAAGATTAATGATACAAAAGCCAAATGATCATTGTAATTGACTAGGTATATATAATACACAAATAAATACTCTTATTTGCTTAATCGTTAATTATCACTTTCATATCGAAAACTTAACTTTGCCAAGTTCGTGGGCTGCTGACTTGGTGACTAGATCAACAACCAACAATATATTCAACAGTATATGTACGACGAGTGTTCTAGTACTAGTTTCCCTTACTACACCCCCCTGCCAAAAGTATAAATACGATGCAAGATTTTACTAGCAAAACATATAAAAAAATAAAGGTTTACTATTGCATCAACGTTCATACTTAAATCCTGTTCAGTCACTTTTTTACTTGAAGTTTTTGCCCGCATCGGGCTTGTATTTTTATGTCTAAGGGCAATATTTCCATCTGTTAAATATTATCCTTAATAACCTTACGTATATTAATTCAAACAACGTCGACCGACCGTAGAACACTTAGATAAAACGTGTAAAACTGTTGATACCATCCATCATTATCATTGTGTTATGGTTACAAAATAACAAAATCGTTTACAAAGTGAACGGCCTTTGATTAATTACCAGCAATGAGGCCACAAGCAATGCACATCACTAAAGGTGATTCTGCTCCTATTGCTCATTCATCAGACATAGTAATGCACTGTATGTCTTACCTGGTGAAATACATAACGAGGATGCTCATTATTTCCATTTAGCCATAATAATAGGTTTTCTTCTAAAAATGACGAGCAACAATTATTGCCAAGTTTCGCTGATGCTGAATTATTATTTCCTGATCTATTTCCCGATGGTCTTGTATTTGCGGGATTTGCATGGTGACGGGATTTACATACGACATATAAATGCTTATACTAAGAAAATAGAGTCTCTTGGTTACTCGTTCAAAACAGTGGCTAAGTGTTTTTGGTCAGAATCTATCGTTGTAGGATAAACCCTTGATATAAATCGACTCATGAGCAAATTTTGAGACTTGGATAATAAGGAGAACGACACTCTTAATTTTTAAATTTAATCAATTTTGTGAATCAACTTTTACACCGAATTGACTTTATTTTGCCGGTAAATTCTATTAATTCGACCCGACCTGTATTGATTGATATATTGCTACTAGCAGAGAAGGTGCTATAGATAAATACAATCGAACAACACTTGTATAAACCGTTAATAATCCGTGTTTACAAGTTTATTCGAAAAGAGTCCGGGTCGCTAAATTATGAGACAATAGACGATTTAATATTATAAATTGACTTATTTAATAACCAATTTCTCTCTTCATACCTGCGGCTGAATCCAAATCATAACCATTTCCATTTCTCGGTTTAGGTAAATCTGCTATATATAGATAAAGTTTATTAGAGTATTTACTCTCTTTCTCGAGACGCGATAAGGGTCCTACATTACTAGTATAATAAACAACATTCCAAATGTTGTCCGAATAATTCTTAGTAAGATTGTAAGTATATTCCCAAATTGTTTCTGCATCTGGACGCTTATCAGAATCAGCATCACAACACCACTCAGCAAGTTTTTTAATCTCTCTGGTGTTGAACTGGTCATAGTATCGCATATCAAGTTTCTATCAAATTTTCTATCTCTAAAAGGTGGTTCACTAGTAGCAATCAAATACGTAATAATGCCGAAAGAATATATATTGTCTGATTTCTTTGTGAATTTGCAAGTATAAAAAACTTCTGGTGCAATAAAGGGCAAAACGCTTCGAATAGCCGAGTTTGACTCGCATGAATTTACTGATCGTGAGACCAAAATCACAGATCAATGATTCACTTGTATAAAAATCATTTTCTGTCTCAGACTGACTCTGATATCCGTTGTCATGAAAAACTGTGTTTCCGCCATGAAGATCACAATGCACAAGTCCTGCATAATGAACAGAACTCATATACATTGCAATATCCCTCAAACACTGTAATTTCATTCTCCACGTCAATTGTTAATCACATATGACAGTTAACCTCTTACCTAGCAACTGGCAGACATTAGAAATCGAGCGCCACCCTGATACAGATTACAAGAATCCATTATTGGTACAATTATTTATCATCATATGCTCTGGAAAGCATATACTCACCACGTCTTTGATGGAAAGCCGCCCAAGAAATCAAAAATCTCTCTCTAAACCTCATCCTTTCCTTTTGGTCTGCTTCCCTTCCTTGCATCTCATGCAAGAAAGAACACCCTCCCTGGTTCCCTGTCAAATTTATTATTGACATGGTCAAGCTTTAATTAGTCTAGAACTAGATCTACTTTGCATTTTTAATTTTTAGAATCTTGTTAAGCCCAAACATGTATTATATACGTGTGAAAAAAGCAGCTCTATGTTTAATAAAGGACACATAAACTCATACTTAAATCGCGTTTAGTCACTTCTTTCACTATTTGCTTGAAGTTTATTAACATAAATAAAATAAACAATTAAATGCAACAAATTTTTATTACAGTGGAGGCCCGACCGTTTTGGTGTGTGGCGTAATTTTTTTTTTGTTTTTTTTTTGTAGAGAAAGTAACAATTTAACACAGAAACCATCAAACCACGTATATTATTTTGACACCGGTTGAATCTGCTTTAATTTTTAAACTATTTGCCTTAACTTTTGCTAAATCCTCTTCCACGTATAAACAAACCCAATAAAAATCTAAGCGGGACTAAAATAATGTTTAACGTCAGAATGATTGATGATTAATTTACCAAAGATCAGAAATAAATTATAATTATGTCGCTAATAGTGAATTCTAGAGTAACGTGATCTTCAGAAAAAATCTTAATTTCACATGGTAAGATGTACTTGTCAAGATTTACGATAAACACGACGTATCTCCGTGATTTCCGACGAGTTACCATTACACCAACATTTCCAGCCGCAGCTCAATATTTGTAGGACCCAATAATGAAACAGATTTCGATATATCGGATTTGTTTCTTTTAATTTAATTCTCATATATTTATTAGATATATAAGCAGTCGTAATTTCCTTAGCAAACGGTGTCTTCGGTTGAATAGATTCGATCTTGAATTTAAGAATTGTTATAACATAGGAAATCAAATAAACATATTATATTTATAAATAGTATTCTCTGATCTATATTGTGGAGCACCGATAAAGCATGAAAACGCTTTCTTGGTCGGTGTTTGATAGAATCGATCTTGCCCCCGGTACTACCGTCCCTTGACAATAAAAATTTCTAATTAATTGAGACATCGAGTAGAATAGTTTCCCGACCTATAGGCTTTCGACATAATCCCACCGAGAGAAATAGACGTATCTCGAGGTTAATTAGAAAT